GTCAAGGCATCAAGCAGTTGAATATTTAGCGTTCAGTAATGCTTATGCACTTGGCACAAGGAAGCGTGCCGGTTCAATGCATGTTAAACCTATATGCATGCCTCTTGTTCACCTAATAAATATATATTGCCTCTGACATGTGCTTCCAGTGTACCTGCAGGTCTCTTTCTTCTCTGGGTTGAGCCATTCTGGACTGCAACTGCTCTCAGTTATACCACTGACAGACTCTACTCTTTCCGACATGGCAGATAATTGAAAAGGAGAGTATCACCATGAACTATTGCGATGAAGATCTACCGTGGCGATAGCAGACATGCTGCGGACGACGGCCCGACTCCCGCAGCCGCCGTACATACAGCAGATCCCTGTGGGGTGCTGTAGCTCCTATTCCTAGCCCATACTCCAAGTTCTAACTTCCAAGTCCATATTGAGTGAGCTCTGTAAGCTCATCGTATGATCCATTTGCTTGGGTTCCGCCTGCAATCTCCTGAAATATTAGTCCCAGGGGAAAGCCTTGGAAATGCGTAGGGACAGGTCCAATCACAGCGCGATACCTAGAAAAGAGCATAGGCGCCTGCGGAGTTTCCTCTTCCATAGTTCCATGTTTTTGAGTCAGAGCTTAGGAGTTCGGGCCTGTCCAATCCGGACCCCGCTCGCTAACTTCATTAGCCAAACTAGCTGGATGCTTTAGGTTCCGCAGCGCAACCATGGATAAAAGACAGCCGCAACCGCCTGGATCTTCCGACGGTCAGGGCTCTAGTCAAGGGCCACTGTCATCCAGTCATCCGCCACTGCGCTAGAACGGAATCCGCAAATGTGGTGGCAATCAGTGCGGATTTCGGCGCTCAGGATCCTGGTCGCTTTGATGCTTGCAACCTTGCAAATTGCAATCTTGGTTAGTGGCCAATCAAAAGTGCGGTGGACTGGTTCTTCATGCTATGCGGGACTTATTTATGGACTGGTCTCAATTAGTCAATTTCCTAGTTTCCTTATCACCTATCTACTCCGGACTCCGTAGTTTTCTGGCACAGACAAAGAGCGGGTTAAATCGGCGCAAGCTCAATTTCCTCTCGAGCATGACTAAAGGTACCTCTACTCAGGAGTGATACCTGCTAGCAAGATCTTGGCCAATCATGATGCCAGTCAGAGTCACGCCCACAAGTTCATTTACATTTATCAATACCACTAATTCCAGCAATGGGGAATAATAATCAACTAAACCAAACTGTGTCAAGCAACGGCTGTACCTTGCAGCTGCCATGCACTCCAACCTCCGTAGCTAACTAACTACCTTACAACCTATCCAAGACCAAATCCGGACCCAAACCGAATGAACGCCAGGAATGAAATCCCGCAGCGAAGCTAGCAAAACCAACCGATGGCCTAGAAGCGAAGTTTCGCATTAGCTCATAGCTAGGACAGACAGCAGTTCTTGGCCTGCAATGTGCATCCTGCAGGAATTTACCCAGGATTTAGTATTCCGTGTCTACTGCACTTGTATCCGCAGGTACAGTGCAGAAAGAATAGCTGTATCTAGATACTTCGTGGTATGTTTACAACTTGTGTCTTGCAAGGATATCTTCAGATCCATCCTTCTCGCGCAGTCTCTCTATGGACTCTGGCAGGTATACGCAAATACCTTAGACTCTCTCCACGTTACACCTGACTATATTGTTCGTGACCGGTGTGACATGGTGGGGATATGAGGTAGCTACCCTGCTATGGATAATTCTAGGTACTTGCAGTATCGGAGTTTCTCTCGCCAATCACAGTTGCCAGCAGATCTAGTTTAGTGTGCAAGGCAAAATCTTAAAGTTGCCTACTTATCCTTTTTATTCGCGATCATCTAGCGCCACAAGTCCTCGTCTCCGTACAGATACTCCGTACAGTCAGCATCTTGAAACTCGACCTGTGCAACCCTACGGAGTATATGCTGTGCCACTCTGTATCTTCTAGAATCCAGCCTGGATGGTATGGAATTGAATCGCCACTCGCCAGGCTATCTGCCTCATGGCACGTTCCGAGATGATCGCATCGCCTCGAGTTCGCAATCTTCACGAGAATGAAGGTGTAACCTGCCCAGCAGGGATACCCTGCAACCATTCTGAGAATGCTCCACCGGACATTTGACATCGCCAGTTACAACTACCCTGTGATATGATAGCAGCAATGCTCGAGTCCGCCATGTCATATCCTCCGCCCCCAGCCGAAATGCCTATGAACCAATGATCTACTTGCTGATTCTGCTCCTGACGGCGTGAGATATTGCCCCAACAGGATCCGCTGTCTTGATAGGTTGATAATGCATGGGGGTTAGATTAACAGCGCCAACGGTCATGGCCAGTTTCGGCTTGGCCTTTAACTTCGCTCCGGCGCTTGCTGCGATAGCCTAGTCTACGGAGTACGGACTACGGAGTACAGCCTACAGGAGGGCTAAGCATCGAGGACCGCAGGATTATCATAGTAACTGGTGATTATACATGATGTGCATTGCAGGTAATTAACCTTACATTGCATCCCGCTCGCTGCATTTTGCGGATGCAGAGAGGCATATCAATAGATCCGAGAGGATCTCACTCGTGAGCGACGACAAAAAAATATATTTCTAGAGAGATACTTGGATATCTTCATTACTCTCCTCTGTAGTGCAGTATCTTGTACGCATACTGAATAATGGAGTACGTTCCGACATTTCCATCCTGGCAGGATGGATCGCCAGATCATCGTCGGCGTGTAACCTCAAAGCCAGATCCCTGTTTGACTTGACTTGAGTTTTGGTAAATCCCTAGTCCATACAGAATTACAGACAAGGAGATGAAATCTGTGCAACAATCCTTCAACAGCTGACCAGGGTGAGTGAACATGGACAAAATTGGTGACGTTGACCAATCGACAGAGTTGAAGACATAACATGGCTGTTCAGTCATCACGGACCTCCTCTCCTTGGACTCGGGGGGATTTCCCCTCAGATCATCATCCTCATCAACAGACAACAACAGTATGGCCAGGCTCCTACCTTGGTTCTTAGGTAGTATCTACCTACTCGGCAAGAAATAGAGGGGCAAGGTGACGGAAAATTTCCGGATGCTATTGGTGGAAGTGAGAGCTCATCCTGGGGCTGCACATGTTGAGGGGCGTCAAGAGGCGGATCGACTGGCTGAGGGAGCGACCACGTAGTCAACGAGGGGACACGGTCACCCGTGATGCAGCGAACCGTGAGCCTCCAGTGGGCACTGTTATCTATGCTATCTAATAATAAATAATGACAATGACAATGACAACGACAACGAAGACTAGCTGAATCAAGGAAAAGAACAACCAAATGAACTTGGGTACCTACTCAGCGTCGACCATGGCCAACTGGTCAATAGTCAATACCTCTCACCTTGGTCACCGCAGTGCCAACGCCGACGAGTCGTAAGCCGTAACAACACCACCGGAATAATCCGAGTCGAATTACTCCGTATCGTAGCGAGATAATCATCAATGATCGATTCATGGCTTGACCGCCGATACCCCCTTCGCCCTCGCCGTGCTCCTTGCTTGATGGCGTGCGCTGTCCCCGTACTGTCCAGAGTACAGTACGTGCGTACAGTACTTACGTAGTGGAGCAGGGTCTGCCAGGTCTGGCCGCCATCCACACTTACCTTAGCCTGGCAAGTTGCAATGGCAAATGGCGGGACCCAGGTTTCAGCTGCAACGACCCGTTGGTGCATATGCGAGTGTTGAGGCAGGAGACTAGGGTGGATGGTTGGGGGTTGTGGATGGACGTGGATCGGTCCAACATCCACATCCACACCCCATCCCCGCTTGCCAGATCATCACTTTTGATTACCTTGGTTTGTAGACTTGAAGGTGCACGGGTCAGATTCTGTCTCGACTATCGAACTATCCATGAATAAATGGAGATACTAATACTATCAAAGAGGAAATTCAGTACGCTGGGCTCCACATGACTTGAACGTGTCATGACACTCGTGATCTCCAATGCAGAGCTGCGGTCACCTCTCGCCAGTAGTCAGTCTGTTCATGCTCTGACAATGACAAGCATGATCTACCTGCCTCATACACAATTACACAGGAGCCAAAGCGATAATCATTCCGACAAAATCATGGCTATCGTGCATGACGTAGCCATGGTGTCTGTATACATCTGTACTACCTCGGATACTGTGCCCAGCACAGCCCAATACATACCTGTTAGGCAGTATGTACTATGTACCCCCTTGATTCTCCACATGACTCGCAAGTGCAGCATACCAGGTATACACGTGTATCTGCATACAGAACGAAAGAAGGCTTCAAGGCATCAGGATCATGTCAGATATCCAGCCCAGGAATGTAAATCGTTTCCTTGCTCATCCACCTCCAGCCAGCCACTACTATCAACAGTTGACTGACCGCAACCCCGTCCTCACCGTCTTTTCCAGCGACGTCAATGATCAAATCTACTGGGTTTGATAAATCGAGAGACTGATAGTACCTATCCCTCTCGTTGTACTCCATCTCAGCTCAATTGTGCCCAGTGCACCGTACACTGACGCTGCACAAGTTCTTATGCCTTTATGCAAAGCGATGTAGTCAACCTTATTTCGATGCCGTGTTGACGTCGAGTACTGTAGGATGTAGAGTATACAGCAGATGTACCTGCTCTTGAGCTGTAATGATCATAATGAACAGATCAAGGAGGGCGTGCATTTCTTATAGTGCAGAGTACTGTACATCAGATAAAGACAGGGATATGGACTTAATCAACTTGTACACTGCGCGTTGACCAGTGCATAGATGCGTAGGTGTATATGAGAGTTTATTCAGACTTCAACTTTGTATCCTATATATAGCTTGCGGATGTATATCTGAACGTATCAGCTATGAGCTTCAGAGCTATACAGACAACAAATAGAGATATATTTCAGATGTAGAGTGTGGGTATAGCAGTCAGTATCTGGTGTCACTTGGTTTATCTCAATAGCTAATAATGAGCATCCGGCACGCTCCAACTAGACATCCACCGGCTTCTGCCTTTCCCGAAGCTTCCGCTCCCTCTGCAGCTGTTTAGCATACTTAACTCCAAAGCCATGTCTATACACCTCCCGCACCGACTCCAGCGGCATATTATGCACCTCCGCGTAACAGAAAATGACAAACACCCAGCCGACGAAGCAAATACCGGCATAGAAACCGAATGCCCCGCTCGGCGTCATGGCCTTCATCATCGACAGAAACATCGACGAGATGATAATGTTGCATCCCCAGCAGGTCACCGTGTTCATCATCGTGCCGAGCGCGCGGACTTCCAGCGGCAGGAACTCCGTGCCAACCCATGCGATTGGGGCGACGCCGGCGGCGAAAAAGGCTACGTAGATGATGATGGTTACGAGGAGGAGGATGCTTGCCCAGCTCATTTGCTGCGTTTGGACCACGGTGAGGTCGTGGTTGACGGGGATCCAGTGGAAGGCGATGGCGGCGACTACTAGAGAGAGGGACTGTGGGTTGTTAGAAGATCATCTTGACTATGGAGAAGGACGGGGAAGTTGCCATTCCGAGGACGGTGATCAAGAGGACCACGCGTCTGCCAAAACGATCGATGGATGCAAAGTTGGCAAAGCCGAACAGAAAGTTCGTCGCGCCGACCACCATCGACACGGCGGTGGGTTTGTTAAAGCCCACCATGGAGAACAGCGTGGCGGAATAGTACATGAGCGTGTTGAACCCGCCCAGCTGGGATATGGCCATGACGATGCAGGCCGTGACGAGGGCTCGCACGTTCTCGCGCACCGTGAAGAGCTGCTTCATCTGCCACCACAGGCTCCTCTCCGAGACCGACACCGCCGCTTCCTCGATGGAATGCTGGATCAGCCGGGCTTTTGCATCCACCTGCTGATCGGTGGCTTGTGGGAAGATCCGTTTCAGCACTTGCCGTGCCTCCTCACCGTGACTGTGCGAGATCAATTGACGGGGAGTCTCGGGACACCATGGCATGGCGGCGCCCAGCATCAGGGCAGGAAGCGCCCCGATACCGACCATGTACCTCCCAGCTATGGGCTACATCGGTAAACGCAGCGCCGAGTGCGTACGACACAAACTGGCCAAATGCCACACAGAGATTATCAAAGACTATCAGCCGGCCGCGGAATCGAGCAGGTGCCATCTCGCCAATATACAGAGGGATGATCATGGCGGCGTTGCCAACGCCAAACCCGACGACGAGCCGTCCAACCGTCATCTGCGCTATGGAATACGCAGCGGCCTGGATCACGGTGTCCACGACGAAGAGCGCACAGCCCACATAGATGCCGAGCTTGCGTCCGTACTTGTCAGATGTCAGACCGGCTAGTACTGCGCCGATCAGCGCGCCTCCGGAGGTGATGGAAGTGACCAGCTCTTGCTCGCTAGAGGAGAGGGCTTTGCCTAGACCTGTTCCCAGGCTGACCAATACCGCAGAGATGACGCCAGTATCGTACCCTACGTGCAATTAATTGAATGCTCCAGGGTATAGGTGCGGGTACTAGCCGAACAAAAATCCTCCCATGGACACCGTACAAGCAATCAGCCACACGGTCTTTCCCGGGTCGGTCATCTCGATCGAGTCGTCTGGATTCTCGTCGCCCAGATGCTCTTGATGGACGGCTTCCGCTTTGCCATCCAGTGACAGCTTCATCGAGTCGGTGTCGGAATCCATTGCGAATTGATCTGATCTACGTCGTTATACTAGCACGCTGGCATAGAGGTAGATAATACTGAGGAGTCAATTCACTCCTTGTTGCTGAACAGTGAGATCACAGCATTTATACCAGATACATCTAACCCCTCACGCCAAACCTTGTCAACAAACACAGCATTCTTCATGAAGCCAAACGGACTCTACGCAACATCATACACGGGGCCCCAGATTTCCCCGCACTGATTCCCCAGACTCCATACTTCAGTGCATTCATTAGGGCGAAGACCCGGCTATCGACATCAGATACCGGCGTGGCTTGCGGGATTGGGTCCTTTCCATGGAAACAATAGCCGATCCCAGCTTGCTACTGCTAGAAGTGGCAGCTCTGTCGCGGGGTAAATGGACCTATTTTGATCGACTTCGTGGGATGTTGCTTGTTCTTGTTCCTTGGTTGCGCCGAAGTATATCGTGGTGGCAATCCGAAGAGGAAATATTCCCCGCATATGCATGTACAGCAACTGACGAACTGAGGAACATGAACGATTGCTGATGACATGTCAGTGTTTAGGCTTAGAAGCGTCATTTGCCATGCACAGTTCATCGGCCCTCCATCTTGGGTTCCCTACTCAATGGTCTCCTCTTGTCTTCTAAGATATAAGAGCCTCTGGCTGTATCTACTGCCTGGTCATGAATCGATCTCCCAACTACTAGACTCTATACTTTTGTTGAGCACAGTAGCAATGTGGTCACTTTTCACAATTGCCCCGTATGCATGCATACTGGGCCTCCTCCTCTTCGTCTATTTCATTGCCTATCCATTTGTGGAGTACATCCGGGACCCCAAGGGTGAGTCAATCTTGATATGAAAAGATACGAACAGACAAAAGCTAACTTGTCAGGCCTCCGGAGATATCCCAACTTCCATCCCTTCTCAGGCATGTCTGCCATTCCTTTCATGGTGCTCGCATCCCGAGGCTTCCGTTCCATGGAGCTCATGAAGCTACACCGGAAACATCCCGTCCTCCGCACCGGCCCCAACACGCTGTCGTACGGGGACGTCCGCGCCATCAAGGACATCTACGGGCACAACACCAAGTGTATCAAGGACCCGTCGTACATCGTCACGGCAGGCACACACTACCATCTCGCCGACGTGGTCGACAAGCCCGACCACGCGCGCAAGCGCAAGGTGCTTTCGTCGGCGTATGCGCTCAAGAACCTGGAGACGTGGGAGTACAAAGTCAGCGACAAGCTCGAGCGGCTGATCGCGCACTTTGACCGGGTCTGCACGAAGCCTCCCTCACCGGCTGTGGCGGAGGGCAAGGCGGCGCCCGATCCGGCCGATCTGACGGTCGACTTTCGCGCGTGGACCAACTACTTTACTCTCGATGCCATTGCCGACATTGGTCTTTCGGAGAAGCTGGGCTTTCTGGACAGCGGCAGCGATGTGTGCACAGCCGAGAGGAAAGATGGGACGACGTACGAGGTGCACCTCCGCGAGGCGCTGTATCCGACTGCGCGCAAGCAGTCGCTGATTCTGTGGAACTACGAATGGTACCCCATGCTTAACCGGCTAGTAAATATCATCCCGTTCTTCGGGCGCATGCAACGCTCGGCAGACAACTGGGACAGCATCGTGTGGCGGCGCGCATCCGAACGCCTCCGCCGCTACGAGGCCGGCGAGAAGCTGGACGATTTCTTCCAGGCGCTGATGGAGGACAATAACGGACACCCGAACAACCTGGAATGGGGTGAGATCGTCGCCGAGGTTAATATTATGATGAACGCCGGCAGCGTGACGACCGCCATCGCCATCGCCAACATCATGTACCAGCTCCTCAAGAACCCGCGCTGTCTGGCCAAACTCCGCGAGGAAGTCGACGCCGTTTTGGACGACGACGAAATCATCGCCCCCTACGACAAAGTCAAGCACCTCCCCTACCTCCGCGCCTGCCTCGACGAATCCCTCCGCCTCTTCCCGCCCACCTCGCACGGCCTCCCGCGCCAGACTCCGCCCGAAGGCATGGAGATCCTGGGCCAGTGGGTGCCAGGCAACACCTCGGTGAGCATCTCAGCGCTGGTCGCGCACCGCGACGAGACCGTCTTCCCGCAGGCGGACCGGTACATCCCTGAGCGGTGGCTGGGCGAGGAAGGCAAGGCGCTGCAGCCGTACTTTGTGGCCTTCTCTGCGGGGGCGCGCTCCTGTATCGGGCGGAATATCTCTTACCTGGAACAAACCAAGGCGATTGCCTCGTTGGTCCATCGGTATGAGTTTGCCCTGCCTCATCCTGGATGGGAGTTGAAGCGGTTGGAAACGATGAACTTGATCTTGGGCGATATGCCTGTAAAGGTGTGGAGGAGGAACGTTAGACACGATTAATAGCCATAATCCACCGTTCTTTGCTTTAGATCCTCCATAGGACAGCCTGCATAGGTAGTACTCCGTAGACACTGTGCATAGAGTAGTGCAGCCCACTAGTCCGAAAAAGGATAATTGATAATTCCCACACATTCTCTTCCTCCGTCAACGTTCAACATCCCTCATCCCATCATCCACGAATTACCTCACAATAAAGAAAATGGGCTTCCATCCAATCGAACTCCGCATCCAAGTCCTCTCCCTCTCAGCCTTCGGCGTCGACACCAAAGCCATAGCAGCAGGGCTGGACATCCCCCTCCGCAGCGTCCACAAGATCATACAGCGGGCCAAAGAGCGGGGATTCGATCCCGCAACGAACCCGCGGGTCAAGATGGAGTACGTAGAGGATGCGGAGAGGTCTGGACGCCCGAAAAAGGGAAGTAGGGTGGCGGCAGCGGAGTCGCAGGCTGGTTCTGGTGCTGGATCTGGATCTGGTTCTGGTGTCGAGGCCGAGAGTGAAGCTGGGGAGGGGAAGTCGATGCCTGAGGCCGACATCTGAGGACTGAGGCCTGAGCCGCCAAGGGGAGTTTTCCCGCGGGGAATGTTTCCGTTTGGGGATGGGGATTGACTGCGTCAAGAGACATACACAACAGAACTACTGTTTCTGGTGCTGCCAACCTTACTGCGACAGCATCTTTCCGACGTGGACGCGGACGCGGATTTCTGCCCTGTTGGTCTATTGTTTGTGCCCCGCTGCAATGCTGTCAAAGACCGATACTTGGTTGTTGGATCGCCATCGGCAAGATGAAGACAACGGTCTGTCATAGTCATAGCCTATTCCCCCGATTTTCGAGAGCTAGGATCGTGAGGGAAAGTTACCCCATGCTGTGGCGATGTCTACGTCTTCACTTTGATGTCCATATATCTGGGCCTTCTGGCTGTCTTCAAGATGACCATTGACAAGTGACTGTCTACACTCATTATGTCGCTCTTCTCTCAATGGAGCTCGCACCCCGAGATTCTTCGGGATCTCTTCAAAGTAATCACCCCTGCAAGTGTCGCCGACTATGCTGCTTTGACTGTCCTCAGCATTATTGGGGGAACCTATGTCTCTCGCGGCATTCTCTGGGACCAACCCGATCCTTATCCCCATCTTGTGTACGAACGGCCGCAACTAAAGAATGGCGGCGCGGCTGGCACCAATGCCAATAAGCAGACCCGCAACATTGCCCAGAAAATGGACGAGACGGGCCAGAACATCGTCGTCTTCTGGGGCTCTCAGTCCGGCACGGCCGAAGGTTTTGCACACCGGCTGGCTCGCGAGGTCTCGCTGCGATTCGGCCAGGAGGCAATGACAGCCGACTTGTCCGATTACGATCCGGACTCTGTCGGTATGATTCCAGACTCCAAACTGGCGATCTTCATCCTCTCGACCTACGGCGAGGGTGATCCCAGCGACAACACCGCCGAGTTCTGGGATTGGATTCACAAGACCCAGAATGTTTCCCTGTCCAATCTCCGCTACGCCGCTTTCGGCCTGGGCAATAGCAACTACAAGTTCTACAATCGCGTAGTTGACGTCGTCGTGGAAGCTCTGGATCGATTTGGGGCTGAGTCGTTGTTGCCCGTCGGCAAGGCGAACGATGCCGAGGGCACCACACAGGAGGATTTCATGAGTTGGAAGGAGGATTTGTTCGCCACGTTCAAACAGAAGCTGGGTTTCCAAGAAGGCGAGGTCAAGCATATGCCTACACTGTCCGTCCAGGAAGACGAGTCGCTCGAGCCCATCGATCTTCATCATGGTGAACCGGACAACCGCCGCGACTCGTTCAAATCCACTACACAATGCTCTCCCGTACGGGCAGTCGATATCAGCAGCTCGAGGGAACTCTTTACCTCCTCTGACCGCCATTGTCTTCACATCGAGCTCGATCTCAGCAGTCAACCCGAGTTTACATACAAGACCGGTGACCATCTGGCCGTCTGGCCCGGCAATCCAGATGCCGAAGTGGACATCCTCGTCAACTCCCTGGGACTTCCTCTGTCGCGCCACGAGGTACCCATCAGCATCACCTCGCTCGACCCAGCAACTAAAGTGAAAGTGCCCACTCCCACCACCCCCATTGCCCTCTTCCGCTACTACCTAGAGATCTGTGCCCCCGTCAACCGCGACACTCTCCTCGGGCTCGCCCAGTTCGCGCCCACACCAGCAGCCAAGGACTTTCTTCTCCAGCTCGGGCAGGACAAGACCGCCTACGCCAGCTTCCTCAACCACACTCACCTCACCCTTGGCCGGCTTCTGCAGCTCGCCTGCCCGGATATCCCCTGGACGGCCCTCCCACTCTCCTATCTCGTTGAGACGCTCACCCCAATCCAACCACGCTACTACTCCATCTCCTCCAGCAGCGTCCTCGCCCCACGCAAACCATCCATCACCGTCCTCGTCTCGTCCGCGCCGCTCCCGGCGAACCCCACCCAATCCATCCACGGCCTCACATCCAACTACCTCCTCGCCCTCTCCGCATCCCTCGCCTCTTCCGCCCATCCCCACGGTCTCACCTACCCGCTCTCCGGACCCAACGCCAGCCTGACCGGCGGCAAAATCCACGCCCACCTCCGCCGCAGCCGCTTCAAACTCCCGCTCATGAGCAAATGCCCC